TGTCCCAAAAGCAGCTGCTCTTGCCTTTTCTTGTCTCCTTTCCCCATAACTCTCCATCCTGGTGGGGCTTCTTCCCATGGCAGGACTGCCCCAGCTTTGGTCCCCTGACAATGTGAAAGTCCTTTTCCCCCATGATTTCAGGCAATTCTGGGTACAGTAGCTTTAAATTAAAGGATATTTAGGTGGAAGGTAATGTCAACTTTGCTGTCCTACCCCCATCTGGAGTTTCAGAATGATACCTTGGCTTAGCAGTGGACTGTGGAGGTGAGTCCAAGGGAGAATAAGTAAGACCTTGAGAAAAGACAGTGACATGATTATGCTTCAGCTAAATCCAGTTTTAATTTCCTCAAAGTAGATGTCCTAATTTGCAAATTACTGTTCTGTGGTAAAGATCCTATGTCCCATACATAGTTAAAATATAAACAAGCCTCTTGGGATCAGGTGGGAGCTTATTAAAAGTAGCAAACCACATATGCCCCTTTTCTTACATTCATAGTTTGGGTTGAACTCTGGTTTTGGTTTGTAATAAAAGCCTTTGCCTTTCCAAAAAAAGAGGCTCCCACAGTGTCTGAACTGGGCTTTTTACTTTTTTTTTATTTTTTTAATTTTTTAACCCTTTTTATTATTCTATCTGCAAATGGATGCCTTGTGGCAGCGTCCTGGGCCGCCGCTGCTCTTTTTTTAGACGAGTTGGGGAGCTGAGAGGGGAACGAATTTAAATGCTGTTAATCATGCAAGCAGAATTTCCCCCCCCTCACCCCCCGCCCCAAAATATGCCCAAAAGGAGGTGTAAGTCGTGCCTCTTTGTTCTTGGGTTATACAACATCTGGCTGAGGAGAGACCTGCTTCATGACTGAGGTGCTCAGGATCTTGTTAGTGTAAATAATAATTATAAGGCAGAAATATTTGCCCCAAAAGTCCTCATACGTGTGGGGTTACTCTTGGCTTTCTTGCAGCTACAGATAATTTTCATAGCGTGGGGAGATGTTTTCTGTGCACCTCTTCAAGATTTGGAGCTCTGCTTTGTTTTTTCACCTCCGCTGGAACCATCTTCGTTATTTCCTGAATTCAGGATTTTTATCTTAGGAACGGCATTGCAGTTATGGGTTTTGTCTGTAATGTGTTCGCCTTGCTACTGTCCAGGCACGGTTTTAGACCCTCTTCCTGTGTCCCGGACACTCTGAGAGTGTTCTCGGTGTTGTGGCTGTGTGCAGTCGTTATTTTTCGTTCATGACATCATGGCAACTTGTGTTCATTCTTTATCAGTAGCGTTACCTTGTCTTCTGATTCATCGGCATCACAGTTGCTCATTTTTAAAAGCTGTTACATCGAACTTTTAATGCCCTTATGTTGGGGAAGTAGATGAGAGATAAATTGTTCATCTTTTTAATTCGGACTTTCATGCCTGTGGTAAAATTGGGAGCAACAAATTTTTTTCATTGAGGGGGGAAGGAGGAAGGATTTGACAGCGATGGTAACTTTGGAAAGGTCAGGATTATATTCACTTTTTTCAGGGTTTTAATCTTGTCCATCGTGGATAACTGTTGTAGTGTTTAATTAAGTCATCGCAGATGCTCATGTTATCTTCTACATGTGTTTACTATTTCATAGAGTATGGCAGCTGGTTTTTTATTTTATCGTATCACAGTTTCTCAGAAGCGTCACGTCATTTACGTACAGCCTTTACGATGAACGGGGTACGGGCTCTTACACATGTGCCATCAACACAGCGAGCTGGGGAACCCTCTGCCTCGTCCAGTACGCGTTTTACGCAGTTCTTACCATTTCACGTACCGCAAACAGCGTCTGCGTTTTACACAGTGTGTGGCCCGATGTACGTTCACGTTATATAGGTGGAATGAAGCACGGGTCTTGTAAAGCGTCGTCTGTTGGCAGCCTGGACAGAGCCAGTGTTTGCGCGCGTGTAGGCAGTGTGATTTTTGGCGTGGAACAGTGAAAGCGCTGCCTTTCTGTTGAACTGAAAATTTTTCTGTGGACCCCATTAACTCGCGGCGTTTCACTTCGTACCTTCTGTGCTGCACGGATGCTCCTTTGGAGGTAACTTGGCCTGGCCACGCTCTGTGTAACGAGCGTGTAAGTTATCCTGACATAAGCTTATGTTGTGGATGTGGACCGTGCCATCCCAACTGCGCTGCTTGGTGCGCTAGAACAAGAAATACCGTCACTCCAGAAGTAAATTTGTCCTGGTAAAAACCAGCTCTACCAGCAAGGGCCCTTAGCGTGTGCTCTGTCCGTCGGAGGTTGCCCTTTTCTGTAGCTCCATCGGGAAGATATGTAGTGTAAACTTGTTCATAGAGGATTAAGCTGCGGTGAGCGACGGCCACTTTGGTTCTGAGTAAGGTTGGGCACGCAGGGGTTTTACGCGCTGTAATACTGCACTTCAATTAATTGTTTCAAATTTCCTGGACAAAAGCCCCATGACTGGTCGGCTGCACAGATGTCAACTTTCAGACTACAGGTATTTTGACGTGAGGTCTACTTCAAGTGTTGGAATTTCACAATTTTTATGTCGCTCAGGAGCTTGAATCATCTTTTTTTAGACTTAAACCAGCCAGTTTCACTTCTGGCAAGCTTAAGCCTGGAAGATTTCAGCCTCGTGAGTGAAAATAAAGAACCACAAATGACTGCAGGAGCCCAGGTTGGGAGCACTGGGGCTGCCTTTATTGTAAATCTTGCTTCTAAGCTACATCACGTCAAACTTCTGCTGCCACGTGCATGTACATGCTCTGGGAATATCTCCATTACTGCTTCCACCTGCTCTTCATTTACGAACTGAGGGAGATTTCCATGCAGCATCTCAGTCTCTCAAAGGCTTTGGGAATTACTATTTTTTTACCTTACCCTCCTCTGATCTGGAAAAGTGTCCTCTAGGAAGGAAGCAGAGTGCAGTGACTCTGCTGTGTCTCTATCCCTTTTACCAAGAAAACTTAAAGCAGACTTTTATACATAAGAATGTTGCGTGCTGTCAGTAGAAATTGCCTCCAGTTGATGATTTTCAGTGCAAGAAGTACGGTAAAATTTAGCCTTGGACTTCATCCTTCTTATGCTGCTTCTGAAGTAGATCCATAAAAAAAAATACAGTTAAGATTTTTTTTTTTTTATATTACTGATTACCCAGTGCTTGAGTTATTTAATAAAATAATTTTAAAATACCGTCCTTGGTCTTCTTAAAAAAATTAAGCTGTGTAGTGAGGATCTTGCTTCTACTGTGTAGTAGTTACAGTAGTAGAAAGGTGGAAATTGGTGCTGAGGTGGCACTTGAAGCAGATACTTGTGACTCATGCGGCTCTCTAATGAACTTCATTAGCTCTTTGATACATAGCCATTTGTTAAGCATGCTTGTCTAAAATTAGGACTGGCTACAGCCAGTTGTAAATCAAAATTAAGGATAGAAGTTTCCACTTACTCCAGTTGAGTTTTCACACCAGATTCAGCGCTCCATTGCTGGTTATCGTGCTCTTCCG